TGATAGCGTGATCTTGGCGAAAGGCGATGAACATGTTGGCATCGGCATAGGCGGAATAAAATCCCACCATGTCATCAGGGATGTGTTTTCCGGCGCAAGGGTCGCATACCCGGTCTCTAAGAGAGACATTCCGTCGCACGCAAGGAACCTCAGGCATTTCATTGGCCTCAGAGCCAACGAACTCGCTCCACACTGTCTCATAAAAATGGATGAAGCTGGAGAGTTGCAGGGAGCGGCCGAGGAAGTAGGGATGATCCCCGAAACTTCGTTGCCGAATCGCTGGCCCCACAACTCCGAGCTCGAGCGAGATGTCCGAGAGGAGAAAGAGTGTTGCAGGAGCATACACCATCAATCGGGTTTGCCCTACTCTCTGCACACGCACTCCTATCCCTTTGCATGCCTCTCGATGTCCTTCGACCGACCGTCCACGTTCGACCCGACAAAGACGCAATGGGAAGCACTCACCAAGGAGAAGTTCGACGGCGTCCGCTGTTGCTTCGGACAGCTCGTTTGGTATCGCCTAAAGTCAGCTGGAAAGAGAACCCTAGAACCCAACATGGCTCCAGGCTTGTTTATGGGTTGGCGTATCGATCCAGGGATGCGATATCGAAGGGTGCTAAAAGTTATGGACTACCAAAGTTTCAGGACCAATGGAAATGTTACTGTCCATGACGTGCCCGAACCTGAGTTGTTCGTCGAGGAAGGCGATCCTGTTTTCCCCATCGCGGCCGCTGCCGATCGAGCCCTGCGAACAGGCGATGGCGAGGTTCCTGAATATGCCATCAGAGATGTTCCGTTCATTCCTGAAGGCATCCCTGCCCCGTCAACACCGTCAGGCTTTAAGTCACGAAGTGTGTACATCACCATTGAACGGATCATAAAGTTCAAGGAGACGCCTGGGTGCAAGGCCTGCACCGGCCATGCTAGTTCCAGGCATCACACTGACGAATGCCGCAAAAGGTTTGCAGAGCTAGTTGAAAGTGAAAAGGAAGAAGCAAAGGCCAAAAAGGCAGCAAGTGAGGAGGCCACCAAACCAAGTAAGGGTGCAGATGAGGCAGCTGCTATACGCGCTGCAAAGGCGTCCTCCCTAGAACCCCCAGAAGCCCCAGAGATCGAGGCGCCTGAGGAGGGAGACCCCGATATCGTCCGTGCCTTGCTTGGAGAGCCCGCCTCTTCTCGGCCCAGTGTTCCGCATACCGACGCTGTCCCCGCATCAACCAAGAAGGATGAATGGGTTTATAAGCCTAGTGGTAACGTGTTAATCCGCGTGCATCATCAGCCTAGGATTAAACTTTTCACTCCCAAGGATGTCGGCGATTGTCCCGTGTCAGTGTGCAGAATCACACCCGGTAGGACCACTCGCGTTGTGTCCCGGCAAGATGGTAGCAAGGAAGATATCAGTGATGGTTGGGCAGGCAGATTCTCAGCACATCGAGAACTCCCTGTGTTCTGGACTGGCATAACCATTTTTAGGTTATATAGTGATTCCGAGCATTCGGCTGCAGCTTTAAGCGCAGCAGGGGGGCTCAGTCCTCACGAGGGTAACATCCCAGTCAGCTCAGGAGCAGCCGTCACCGTGTCAACCGCATCCAGCACAACACTTGCTGAGACCACGAAAGAGAAGCCATCCGTTTTCGGTAACCCTTGTCAGCTTCAGGGGGGCGATGAACGCCCTCCGTTTACCGTTGGCAACAAACGTGCTCGCAAGCGCCTAGCGCGCGATGCTGTTGGCCCGATGTTTGAATTTGCTTGTTCACCTAATTCCTCAATGGGTAATGTGTTCAAGGATCTCGACATCCCACATGTCCGATTAGCAAAGGAGTACATTGACTTAGAGTCAGCCGTTGCGGATGAGCAGCTCGCTTATCAACTCTCGCAGTGCGTCCGACCCAACTTGTGGGCAGCCATTCCATGTGTCTCAGGATCACCTTGGCAGAGGCTGAACCTCCACAGGTTAGGAAAGCCGTTTAAGAAGAAGTTAGAGGAAAAAGTCAAGCAATCCAAAGTGATGTTTTCAAAGTTTGCATTGCACGCCGAGCATGTTTTGAAGGCCGGCGGATCAGTCACCTTCGAGTGGCCACGCGACTGCGAGGGATGGCAAAGGCCAGATGTAGCCGAGTTCTTCGAACGCCACAAGGACGTGTTCCACGGTGTTTCGTTCCACGGCTGTGCTGTCGGCTTGACGGATGAAAATGGTTCACCCATCAAGAAGCCTTGGCACATCAAAACTACATCAAAGGCCCTTGCCGAAGCATTCGCTGATCGCCAGTGTCCGCACACAAAGTCCGAAAAACATACTCCAGCGGCAGGGAGCCGAACCTCCCGCACTGCATTCTACCCTGAGCAAATGTGTGGTTTGATCGCCAAAGCATTATATCCCAAAGTTTGTAGGACTCCGGTTCAAGCAATGCCTGTAGTTCCAGTCACTCAGCAGACGGAGCATCGTGTTAAGGAACAGTCCCTAAAGCACGAATCTCCGCTTTCCGGAGCAGATGACTTCACCCTCCTCGTTGAATCAGACTCTAAAGTAAAGGGTATTGTTGAGGAACTCCTTGATGTCCAAAGTCTACTTGCTTATGCTGTCGACATGCCCTCCAAGGCTGTCGAAACAGAAGCGCATGCAATGGTCACTAAACTCCTGTCCCGTGCTGAGATGCTTGCATCTCCTGAAGCATTGGAAGCGATCAAGCAGGAGGCGACCGGACTCCAAGACGTCGGAGTATGGGATAGTTCAACTGTCCGGGAGAAGGCTGAGGTCGCAGCTCAAGCGCGACAGTCTGGGATCAAGGTGCACTTTGGTCAGCTCATGACGATCGCCAGCATCAAGTTCTATGAACTTGCGAAGCACCTCCAAAAGGTAAAGGGGCGCATCGTGTTCAGGGGAGACTGTGCAAAAGATGAAGCCGGTGCACCCGCGGTGTACCAAGAACTGGGGGCAAACCCCACCTCGGTACAGGGCCTAAACGCCTGCCTGGCGTATGGGTGCATCCCAGGACACACGGTCACCACCGCTGACGCGGTAAAAGCCTATGTCCAGGCGTTCCTTAGCTCACAGTTTCAGACGTGGATCGAGCTCCCGCCTGAGCTGCGGCCAAAGGAATGGGGTTCCAAGTTCGTGAAACCCGTGGTCTTGTTGATTCGTGCCCTATATGGTCACCCTGACGCAGGAGGTCTGTGGGAGGCACACCTTAAGAAACTGCCAAGCAGCTGGGAGGAGAAGAAATCCCAGAGTTTCCTGGAAACTTTTTCTTTAAAGGGGTAGGCCTTATGCTCTCGACTTACGTCGATGACTTAACCCTCTCAGGTCCCGCAGATGCACATGAAGCCTTTTGGGCTAAGCTTACAAAAATGATAAATGTAGAGCCTCCCGAGCCGATCTTTCGGGTGCTCGGGCGTAATCATGTCTTTATAGATGGCCCCGCAGAGCCTCAAGAGCATGATCTGAATGCAGCTGTAAGCGCATTGAAGGGTGCCGTTGCATTTGACATGAATGACTATGCCCGTCAAACCGTAGAACTGTTTTGTTCTATAACCGGCACTCAGCCCGAGAAGCTCCGGAAGGTAACTACTCCGTTCTGTCCAGACGGATCACTTCCTCCTGAAGATGATCAGTCAGCTGGTGAGCTAGCCCCAAATGCGTGCAAACTCCTCATGAAGGCCTTATGGCTGGGACGACTAGCACGTCCTGACATCATCAAGCCCATAGGTGACTTAGCAACCGCCGTTCAGAAGTGGTCTCGCAACCATGATAGGCAACTCGCCCGTCTTATCGCGTACATCCACTCGACGACCCACTATCGCTTGGTAGGGGTCATAAAAGATGACCCACAAAATCTTCACCTCGCATTGTACGCTGATGCCGACTATGCTGGGGAAAGGGATGCGAAGTCCACATCCGGTGGCTTCCTGGTCCTCAAAGGACCAAACACCCATTTCCCCTTAGCATGGCTCAGCAAACGGCAGACATCCGTGTCGAGGTCCACCACCGAAGCTGAGGTCGTTTCGCTCACATTTTCCTTGTATCAAGAGGGCCTTCCCTCCTTGACCTTGTGGGAACGTTTGCTTGGACGCCCAGTCGAGCTGGTGCTGCACGAAGATAACCAAGCCACTATCCTCGTTGCCAAGAAAGGTTACTCTCCGAAAATGCGGCACATACAGCGCACTCATAAAGTGAACTTGTCCGCACTTGCTGAGCAACTTGAACCCGGCACGGGCGTAGTAATCAAGTACGTAGCAACCGATCTCCAGGCAGCAGACATCTTCACAAAAGCACTGCAACCCTTGAAGTGGGACCACGCTCTCAAACTTTTGGGCATCAGAACCAATTTGCCCGAAAAGTTAAAAGATGTCCGGCCTGAGATGACCAAGCATTAACAAAAGTGCAGAAATCAAAGGTAAGCCCTCTTTATGGTCTGGTAAAGGACCTTGCATCACATGGGTCGCAGCTCAAGCGCGACTGTAAAATACAAGTCTCTTAGTGAGCACGGGGAGGGGGGAGTTGAATAATCACGACCCCTTGACCCCCAAAGAGGTACCCCAGAAGGGTGTGCATGCATGTGATGTTAGAGGCCCCATTGACTGCATGTGTTTCAAGTGACATGTCGAATGGCAATGACCATTTGGCTCAAGATGCCCATCAGATCAAAACCAGGGTTTGCGCTCGCCTACCGGACTGGGGTTAATAAGGGTCCCGGTTTCTGGTTCGCTGTGTTTCTTTCCATGTTGAGTAATTTAAATCCAAATCGTTGTTCCGAAAGGAAGCCAAAGGTCATGTGCCTTTGTTTATAGTTTTTTTGGTGCAGGCCTTTCTTCTGCCAACACGCACCAACCTCATGTGGGGAGCGACCAATCGACCTTGTGACCTTTTGGCTCTCCAAGCTTCTCCTTTCAGTCATGGTCTTTCAACAAGATTGACCCTTTGCAAGCGTGTCGTTACATGCAAGTTTGCACCACCCAGTGGACCTTTCATGTCCAGGTCGTTTGTTGTGTATGGCTCTTAGGTCTCTCCTGTCCCACTGGCTGCGCCGCGCACGGGAGCGCCTTGTTGTGCCGGCATTGGTTGACGCGGACGAGGACCGAGGAGTAACGCTTCAGAAAACCTTTGGTTTGCAAGTTACTTGCAAGACAGTTCTTCACGCATGCTTTCATTCGTTGGCTGTGTTTGTTGTGAGTCAGGGCTGCAAAAGGAAACTTATCTTTTTGCCAAGGGTTGAGAGTACCCGAAACATCTTGCGGGCAGTTCGAAGTGAGCTTTCTTTCGCCTAGCTGACAAGAGACATGCAAGGAGCTTCTCGTGTCAGGCTGGCGGTTTGCTTCCGTTTCAGGCATGTGGCGCTGCATCGGCGGTTCCCGCCTTCTTGGCGGCCTCCAAATTATTTTTTGTGGGTCCTGTCTTATTTCTTGAGACCTCCAGCGGCAGTTTTAGCGGAACCCAGGGTCCAACGGTGGAAGGGGCAATCCATTGACCCCTGGCTAAGAATGGTCGACCCCAAAACGTGTTTCCGCTTTCTGCCAGGGACTTGCAAGTTTGGAGGGATGGCGGCATGCAGCAGCATGCCGGGCGGGGTTCCTTCAGAAGGGCTCCTTTTCAGACCCTGGTGCCTTCCAAGGGCAGATCCCCAAAACTGGTCTTAACGCTGCATGGCACATGCGTTGAGCACCGAAGATGCGATGCCCACATGACGCTACTGTGGTGGTTGGTAGTGAGTGTGCGCAGTTGGGTGACAAGCGAAGTGGCAATTGGTATGATGTGAGTTCATGCAAGGCGCGCCTTTGCAAGCTCCCTCCCATTGTGTTGGGAGCATCGTCCGTGTGAAAGGGGCCGAAAAAGTGAGGAGCCTTTGGCCACCGCTGTGGCCGCCGTGGTCTGCAGCGAGCTGCGAGTGCTGGACCGCGGGAACATGCGGAACGAGCCGAGAGCGGAAACGGCCGCCAAACCCGGCGGTTTTGTTTGCAATTACTTGAGGAGTGTGCTCTCTCTCTCTCTCTCTCTGTGTTGTTTCTCTGTGTTGCTTGTTTTTTGTTTGCTGCTTTTGGTTTGATTGTTCGATGTGTTGCAGTGTGTGGATGTGTTGGTCCTGTTCGTGTCTACATGAGGGCTGATGCTGTTGGTTTGCAGAATCAACCAGACATTGATCTCAGGTGGTTCCCCCTTTACTGCCGGAATGGGCAGGTTTCACGAGATTTCAAGAGATTCACCGTGTGGTTTAGGTATCTAAGTAGCCATCCTCCACATCCTCCAGACCCATGTCAGTAGCAACCATCAGCTGACTGATGGCCTTGCGCTGTCAAGGATCCAGGGTCACCTCTGGGCCAACCTTCAAGTAAACAAAGATATGGCCCCTCCCCGAACATGCTAAGTGAGTTCCCTGTTGTTCCCTGGAGGAAGGAGGCCTATGCCCTCGTAAGGGCCTCATTTTCATTTCCCTTGAAGCTAGGCCACGGCCTGAAAGAGAATGGCGGTGCAGTGCTAAACCAAGTTGCGTCAGGACCTGTGCCTGGACAACCTGCAGCGCCAGACTCTGGAAGCGCAGCTGCGGGCAGAGTTTGGAGAAAGAAAAGTCTTGCGCGGGCCATCGGACAGCTCAGAGTTTCCACCCAAACCCTGGCGGATATATGGGGTGCCTCCCCAAAGTGAAGGGTTAGCGGTGATTCATCCCAGTTCCCGTTGCAGGATGATCCTGAGCTGACCCCCATTGCACCAGCTTCCCGGTTTCCTCCCAGTACGACATAGTACGACCTTTAGGTTTGGGGAAGGGAGGTCCGATGAATGGGAGGCTGCTGCCTCTCCAAAGGGGCTGTCACTACCAAACCACTTCCCGAGCAGGAAAGTTGTGTCACTGAAACATGTAAAGACTTGTGGGGAAAAGCAACAAATCGTTTTAGCGCAACTAGTCTTTAGCAAGAATGAAAACAGATGAGCAACTTGACCGGAAAGGGATGGGATTTCCTCATATTAGCAGTTTGATAGAAAGGATGTTGCTGCAATTCACTGCCGCGGCCTCTAAACACGTATTCGACGTGCATATATATATATATATATTTATTTTTGTAATTGTGTGTACATGCGTAGATGCACAGACAGTCACATGACATTGCATCGAACTTGTGCCCGTGAAATCGTTGCGTAAGTGTTTCATTATGCACATAGTAGATACCTGCATATACAATCGCTGCGCTGTAAATAATCTCACGGGGTATATCACCTGTGTTCTGAATGGCTTCAAGTCCCGGAGGGTAGCTTGCTTGCCGGAACCTTTCAGTAGCTTAAAGCGGTCCGATTCCGTGTCTCTTGTTTGGAGGGTAGCCCTTTTTTGTGGGTGTAAAGGGAAACCAAAATGACAGCCACATATTATTCTTTGGCGGGGCCTGACAAAAGGCACACCCAAGTACCAATAGCAGGTCATCCCTAAGAGAGCTGCTGTATTGCAATATTTTTTTTTGAGATGGGCGCTGCTTCAGAATGCCGTTACGCATATGACCATTTTGGCTTGTTGGAAGAAGTGAAGCAATCTCCCCCTTGAGTTTAGAAGCCTTTCCTGAAGGCGTCAAGGCCCATGTGCTTTAAACAGCAGAACTGGCTCCACGGTGACTCCGCATGCCAGTGCAGTTTGCATGCTGCAGTGTGCTACGCGTACTAGACTTCTTGGAAACGAAACAGGCACGCGCATGCACATACTACTTTACATACTGCTAGACACATCTCATTCTGTACAGGGCCACCCTATTTGCAGTTAGCTCCATGCTGTCTTAAGCTTTTGTTTCTGCGGGTTTGGTGTAGCTTGCTTTCAGTGGCATCAAAAGGTGGATCACCTATTCCAGGACTGGTTGGTGAATTCAAGCTGGGGAAGCTGGGGTCAAAGGCATCAGCTGAGGTTCTCGGCCAGACCGTGGCCTGATGCTGCCGGGTTAAAGGAAGGGTCTTTGGCTCAGCGGTTCGTCCATGGGCCAAGAGAGTTGCAGGAAACTTTGAAATGGACTCTCTGCCTGTAAGGAACGTATGCCGGGCCGGGAATCGTCAGCCCCGTGGAGGTGGGTGCGTTCTGGACATGGTTTCCTTCAAGTCAAAAGGGTATATATATATAATAAAGGGCAGTTCATGGAAGATCCACTTTGAAACCACGTGACGTAGGATCCGTTCTTCCATCGTGATGAATCCATCTTTTGTTGAACAGGCCCGTAGTTCAGAGGCAGCCTTCTATCATGGGGGATTTCTTCTTTGCGGACTTAAGCCCGTAAAGCTCTCGCAGTTGCATGTTTTTGGACTCGGTCAATATCCCAACCAAGGTCCATACGCACAAACCTTTCAGGACAGGCTGTGGAGAGCCGCTGCATTGGCTGCCCGGCTCGCATCATCCGTCTCACTCGGTCAACGCTCACAGCCGCGAGAAAAACATGCGTGCTGACTTCCGCTTGCGGTGTCCAAGGCTTGGATACTTGTAGTTGCCAAAGCTAGTTTAGCTCTTGTCCCTGCTGGTTGGTCGTGGTTAAAGCGCAATTTGTCAAAATAGAACTTATGCGAATTGAAGGACTTGGTATCATGGGACAATCTGGGACCAGGGGTTGGTGGGTTTTTCAACGGTGGTGTTTTGCGTTCAAGTGGGCGAAGGGTCACGCAACGTTCGAAGACTGGCAACATCATGAGCCTTTCAAAGGCTGAAGGAACGAACACGCATCAATGCCGAGCATTTGGCTTGTGGGTTAGTTGTTGGTCTACCTTTGGCTTCAAGGCTTGGTGGGCAATGATCCCAGTTACTCACATCACAAAGTCCCCGTGACCAGTTGAGGCATGGCTGGTCGGTGGATCTAGGAACGCACAAAACTCGAGGGAGGTGCTGGAGGACCAGTTCCCTAGTACAGGGACCCTCGGAATTACGTTCCACGAGTGTCTTTGGGAGGGTAGATCTTTTCGGCATTTTGGGCACTGGAACCTCCATTGAGCCTTACTTCAAAATCAGATAGTTCGCTCGGGGCGAGAACCCACAACGCCAGAAGAAGCCGGCTGATGCATATTAGGCATGCGACTGGTGAAAGTTGCCAAGCAGCAGGAGGTATGTAGTCAATGTTTGTCTATCCTGCTGTGGGTCTTCAATGGGCTTCGTGTCCACTGCTCTTAGCACATTCTTGAACCAGAAATTGAAGCCCCTCCCGCCAGAAATAGATGGGAATCCGTGTGCGGGGGTGGAAGGCCATTGAGTTTTCAACCTAATTTTCTGATCAGCCATGCCTTTATCTCTGAATCGGAGTTTGCACCGACGGCAAACTTACATTGGGGGCACAACGATAGGGTTATCCTTTGCAGCGAGCCTCCCCACGAGCATAATGAGGAATCCTTATGGGAGGCTTGCCAAACATGTCAACGACAGAAGGTGAAACAAGGGCAGCCCTGGATGCAAAAGTTTCGCGAGGTCCCACAAAAACTGGGCAACCCCAAGCAAAAACGTGCTGAGGGCATGGCTCAGCTCCCGAGCTGCGGCTTCATCCGTGCCTGGGCGCCCGGATTTCGTGGGTTGAGTCAACGGTTTCTACAGACGGGGCTTCCTCGTTTCTTCACGGGCAAGGCAGAGCGCGGTGTTGCTCCGTTTTCGGGTATTTGAGGATTTTTGCAGTCACCGGAAAGCTTTGACTCTGGCAGACGTGTGGGGGTTACGCTCGTCAAAACGGTCATCAGTTCCAGTTCGACTCGTGGAATTATGTGTGTGGCAACCTGTGCCCCTTTTGCTAGCAAAGGTTTGATACCTGGATTTCCCCCCTGCCCCTTGAGTTGTGGCGGATGGTCTACTTTGCTGCTGGCAGACACGCTTGATTCCTTCACTATTGCAAGTATGCACGCAGCAGGGAAAAACACATGGGAATACCCGTTGGCCCCATGATTCGGCATAATTAGTCTGCCGCAACTTGGCTTCAACATATTCGGACTCGATGTGGTGTGCACAACGGAGGGTGCTTAGTTGTCGGGTTGGTGAACTAACGCTCACCTCTTCACCTTGTTTGAGTTTTGAGTCACGTTTTCGCCTAAAAGCCTTTGGGTCGGACCGATGAGCCGCCTTATTGCAGTTGTCCACACATCGTCTTGGGCTCAACTGCCATCCCGTTGGATGCCTGAATTCCAGCCCTGGAAAACCAAGAGAACAACTGCGTTGCGGTCAAGATCTCCGGGTCTGCACCTAAGTTTGCAGATGGGAGCTTTTCTCGTGGTTCCATGGTGATCTATATTTGGCAAGTAAGCAATGGCTGAGAATTGTAGAAGAACCTGCCAGCGTGTGTTGCTAAGTGTGGCACCGGGTAGTCTTTACTGCTTCGTCAGAGCAGTCCAGAACGGCATAGACATATCTTTAAGTCTTCAAAGTTCCGGTGCCCTGCGTAATTACATCAAGAAACTGTATGTGTCCGAGCTCCAACCGAAGCCACCGGTAGACCTTCCCCCCATCCCTTCCCAAGCGTCAGGAGGACTTCCGGCGTGCCTCGCGGCGGCTGCTCGAGCCGCACGGCTGCATTTTGGTCAGATGGGAGTGGCCCATGGGCGGCCCATAGGCGACTTAGTCTTCGATTCGCGGCTTCCCTACAAATTGGTCAGCCCCCAAAAGGGTTCCCCCTTACCAGGCCGCTGGGAGATTGAGGTCTTTAGTTTGTGTTGGTCTGTGTTGGGAAGCTGCTCTGTGCGGCCAAACAAAGGCTCAATGTGGCCGCGTTGGCAACGTGATGTGTGCTTGCCGGGGTTTACGGATCCTGGGCGTGTTTCTTGATTTTACTCATTCAAAATGAGGCAGTGCGGAGATTCACTATGCCTACGTGGGTTTGAAGAGCGGAAGGTAAAACAGGCTCAATCCTGCTTTAATATTTTGAGTTAGTTCAGTCGGACAAGTAGGATGTCAAAGGGTTTCTTGGGGGGTTGGACGCATTCATAACGGTTGACCAGCATAAATTTGCGCATCACGTTTCGTATGTGTCAAGGTTGTGGACATCCCTGGCTACATTTTGGGGCCTTCACTTAAAACAATCACAACCATTTGCCCAGCCCAGACCTTTCAGCCAACTGCTGTGTCTAATGCCCTGATAATTTAATGTGAAGAGGAGCAATGATCATGGGAGTTCCGAGGGCAAGCCCCACCTGTACAAAGAGGGTGTCATTGACAAAGATGAACTACCGGAGAACAGTGGGACATGACCTTGTCAAGTAATCATCCAAGGACTGTGCACAAGCAGCTCGTAGTATTTTATTTAGAGGGATCATTGACTCGAGAAGGCCAGGAGGCAATGCTTGGCACCGGCCACCAAAAGTTGCGGGCTCCAAGGTCAGAGAGGGTCTAAGGTCAACTGACCTCTGTCATCTTCCTGAAGGCTTCAGCCAGCTTTGAAGTTGTCCTGCGGCACCCTTTTGTCCTTCCGCAGGTTGGCCTTTGAACGCATTCCACCAAACGGGGTGTCCTTTGTCTTCCTTGCTTACTCAAAAAACATCCTTTCGTTTTCTCTTCCAACTGTAGTTTTTCTGCTTTCTGAGGTAGGGAACCGGGAACCCCACTTTCCACAAGGTGGTAGGAACACGCCCCTGTGTCATTCGGGAAGGACCTGCTGTGCGGGTGTAGCCCGGCCACTTTGTTTCAGCCGGTTCAGGTCCAGCCTAACTGCACAGGCAGGGTGTCAGGGTGTTCTTGGGCTGCGTCATTGCCAAGCGGGGGTTGGAGTATCGGAAATACCCTTAGCACCCTGCTAATAAGCTTCCACACTCTGAACCTTGGGTGACATGTGACATGTGCATCGCTGCCCGAAGATAAACGGTTCGCTTTGTGGGTTGCCTTGGCTCGAAATCGGCCAGAACCGTTTGACGCCAAAGGATGTTGTGCCAACCCATGATTCTGCCCCGTTGGAGGCCACCCGCCAGGTGGTACAAGTGAGAGCCTTGAAAGCTTGAGGACAATGACTGTCTTCCTACTACTGGCAAATAATGGCAAATAGTTGAGTTGGTTACAGAGGGTGAAAGTGTGATCCAGCGTATAGCTCTGCTTCTGAAGAGTTGGGAGCAACCGCCGAGAGAGGGGGTTTGACCTTTTGGTTTGAACGTTTGTAGAACACTAGGATAAGATCCAGGCGTCTTTGGGATGTTGGCATACGTTGTCGGCAGCATTGTGTTCCCGATGGCATCCTTGCACCGTCCCGTTGTAGGTTTTCCCAAATATCTTCACCCCGTTACGATCTCCTGGCGAGTTCCCTTTCGGACACTGTACAGCCCATGCCCGTCAAGAAACATATGGGAATCAGGTGCAGATGCAGCTGCGTTTGTGGTTCGGGGAGCTCTCAGGCTAAGGCAGCCCCTGCAGCCTCATGAGTGATGTTGAACAAAAACACAACCGAAGATGAATCCATGCATTAGCAACTCTTCCAGATCGGTTGGACTTCATCTGGCCTTGCCCACATGTGGGCCCATTGTGGTTGGGGTTCAATCCCCGTTTTCAGGGCACTCATTTTTTGCCGCATCCTCGAATTAGCACCTATGTGAATGTCCAGAATACAGTTTTCTATTCTTAATGGGCTGGCGGGGCTCATTCAATTTGTCAACATTTTTGTTCTCCCTCGTGTCCTAACGACATGGAGGGAGTTGTGCCATGCACCATCTGCTTGGACCCATGTGTGAGATGCTCGTATCTACAGCAGAATGGCGCAGAACAGTAGGTTGACCGTGTATACTGTACTTCTCCATATGGGTGTGTCAAAGCTTCTTGACTCCTTGAACGGTCGGCTTTCTGTTTTTTTGTTTTTGCGGGGTGACCAAAACGGCCCCTCATGTTGGAACAGGCCAATGCATTCGGTTGCCTTTCGCGCAGGGTGTCAGCGTGATGTTCCTCTCATTCCACATGGGTGCTGCCAGGGGCTCGTTTGAGAACCTCCGGATTCGGAGCGTTGAGTCTCTTGACATATGGGGGGGGTTCTCAAAGTCAGCAAAGGCAAGCCAAGAGGATTATTTCCATGTAGAGATAGATCCACGTCACCCATGTCCCAGAACACTATCGGGAGAGGGGCCTCAACTTCTGGAATTTCATTTCAGCACGTGATAGCACGTGTGTCCTTCCTGCGCTTTTGATAGTACCTAAACGCTCGGGGCTAGCTCCGAGCCCCAAGGCCAACCCACTCAGCGGAATGCGACCTCGTGTCCCACGTTTTGTCATGGACGGATCAGGCTATCAGGCGGTCCTTGCTACTGCAGGTAAGTAGGGCTCTACCACTCAGACCTTAGCTGGTATTTCCTAAGGTGAACAGCTGTGCTTGTGCTGCTCATGTGCATGGCATGATGAAGTTGCTGGTTTTTACGTCAATGGAGTCGTTAGTCTCGGGACATCTTGGGGCGGAGCAGATGTTGAACATCTTCAGCCTCGCGTCATATCAAAGCAATCCGCTGAGCGGCCAGAGCCACAGCCCTTGTCCTTTGCTGTCAGTAGGGCCCCGCACTAAATGTCCGACCAACAGACCATTTCTACAGTATAATCTGCATTGTGTTTCTTCAGTTCGCCGATTTCGTGCTTGTTCATTTCTAGCCTTTGAGAGCCGTTGGGCCACCACCATGCTGAAGGCTTGAATATTCTCCTTAGGGCTTTTCAATCAGGCGACAATCTTTCTCAACGAAATCAACGTCTCACTTGCCTGAAGTGAGTCGACCGATTTAGTCGGTTCCCTTGTTTTGGTTCGCTTTTTGTTGTAGCCCCAGAAGGCTTCCCCTGGTGGCCAGGGGCAGCCAGCCTCTCCCTCTAGGGAACCTGGCAGACGGTTTTGCAGGAAATTGGCCCAGGCGACTTTGCTCGCGGTGCTTGAGCTGTTTCCAGCTACACTTCCCTCGTTCTTGCCAGGCATCCCTTGTTCGGGCAGCGCTGACTAGCCAAACAACGTGGCTTTTTCAAGCTGACAAAATATAGGGCTCAACCTTTAGAATGCTGGGCGTGGTTTGGACAAATGTGGGACAACCAATTTTCCAGCCCCTTTTGGTCTCCTTGGATAAGGTTAACAACTGGGCGAATTTTAGGGCACTGGGCAAGGCCATGGTGGCTGGCAGTGGGCACCTCAGAGTGAGCCAGGCTGGAGGCCTGAAAAGGAGGTCGCCGAGGTTTTCAGCATGATGGGCAACTCAAGTGGTTTGGATATGTTTGGATGAGGTTGTGAACCTAGGGGCTTTGAGGGTAAATGGGAAAGCAGTCGCCACTCAAGAGGGCTGATGATTTGGTTTTTTGGCGGTTTTTCCGGCAAGTCATTTGTTGGGCAGTTGACTAGGTACTAGGCCGTCGTTGCAGTCATAGCGCACGATTTCTTCACCCAAGAAGTAGGCTGACAAGGCCGCGCGGCCCTTGTTGCGCGGTTGGAATGGTCCTTCTCCATTTTTACTAGGCTGGACCTGATTCATGTCTAGAATGGGTGAAACAAAAGCAGAGGCCTTCTGACTGTTGTTTCAGCATTCGATTTGGTCGAGTGAACTGTTGGAATTGACTGAACATTGTTTTTCCTTGCACCCTTTCCAGTTTTCCTTTAAACCAAAACGAAATGTACCCGGCAAGTTCCGATTTCTTAGTCACTTGGCAAGTAAGTCTAGGATTTGTTTTGGACTAAAGCAACAACTCCCTGCTGATTGCATGGGGTTGTGGCCTGTGTTTGGTTGAGTAGGAGGGGAGGCCTGCGTTTGTCAAGCAAGTAGGGAACCGGAATTGAAGTCGGGCTCTCGCAATGCTGGTGCAAAGTGAATTGATTCGGAATACCATATTATGGAGGATTCCCCGGAGCAATTTGGTCCTCCGCAGTCCTCCCCAATCCTCCAGTCCTCGGTCGAGACTGGAACAGGTCGAGACTGGAATAAGAAAGTCAAGTGAATTTGTGCTTCCCAGGATTTATCAATATCTACCCCTCATCCCTGAGAATAGTTGTCTTCCAACTTCCCTGCGGCAACATCCCCCCAGTTCACGGGCAACAACTCGCTTGAGGCGACGAGGTGCGGCTGAACTTCGGGAGCCCAGGCCAGCTTCAGCCATAAACTGTCCCCCGAATCCACTTGGTGTCGTGAAATCGGGGTTTTTGGATAGGTGTGCAAAGAAAAGCCGAAGGAAGCAAAGCTGCATGACCCACCAGTACATGGTGGTCAAGTTCGCCCCTTGGCAACTGTGACCCTCGCTGCCTGGGTTCCATCTGGGTATATGTCGAAACCAATTGGACTTGATGTTGTTTTATTTCCAGCGGGTGCGTGTTTGATTTTGATTGATATTGTGTCTTGGCTTTCCCTTCAGGCATTTTGAATTTCAGGGTTTGACATAGCGGATGTGATATGTGTTGTGTATTGTGTGTTGTGTGTGTGTGTGTGTGTGTGTTGTGTGTTGTGTGTGTGTGTGTGTGTGTGTGTGTGTGTGTTGTGTGTGTGTGTGTGTGTGTGTGTGTGTGTGTGTGTGTGTGTGTGTGTGTGTGTGTGTGTGTGTGTGTGTGTGTGTGTGTGTGTGTGTGTGTGTGTGTGTGTGTGTGTTTTTGATGTGCACGGTAGGGCCAGAAAGCGGACAAGAAAAAGCGAC